GAGCAGCATCAGCATCATGGTGTGCGAGATAGCAGTCCCGAGGCAGAGATGATGATGACATTCTCTGTGGGAAGTGTGCAGGCTGTCCACTGGGCATATTCCAGTAGCAAACATCTAAATGGAAAGACAAGGCAGAGTGAAAAGACATCACTGCTGAGCTGCCCACAACCAAGGCCAATCTGCAAAGACAACCCGCTTGCTCTCTCATCGCAGAATTGAAAACCTTGGTTATTTGTGCGCAAATTGCTCAACTCCTATGCCTGTAGTCTGTCAGAAAACCATGTAAAAATGAACATAATCACTGGTGTCAAGACAATCTAGGGAGCAAACTAGAACCATGGAGAAGCGTCCCAGGGAAGTCTGTCTGTACTGTTTAGCAGTTAGAAAGTAGCACTATCAAAGGGGAAATAGGAACCTGGGCTGCATAGTGAGACCTCATCTTTACACACACACACACACAATTAGCTGGGCATGGTACGTGGGTGTGTGCCTGTAGTGGAGGCTGAGGGACACAGCTTTGAGTGAGCTTGGCCTAAAAAAGGGACAGAGAATTATGTGATTTTCCCCAAGCACACTAATTAATTTGTATGTCATTTCTCTCCCATTAACATGTGATTAAGACCATCATGTGAATGTGTGATAACAGCCTCAGAAAATTCTGACTATTTCTCAAAAAGAGAGGAATCTCTTCCTTATTCAACCTAGCTTAGAAAAGAGAACTCCCAATTTAATATCAATCACAGTGACTTGACTTTTGAATTGCCAACTTGTCAAGAGATTAACCACCAGAGAGAAAACTCTGGATAACATGGAGTCATCATCTGTGAAGGGGTTGTACTTGCCTTGCTCCTTCACTGAGCTGTGAATAAGATAGACTTGACACTCGAACATGCACTGTGACTTTCCTTCTCTCTATACCAGAAGGGAAACGATGCCAGAAGCAAGAGCCACTGTCTCTACTTATCATCAATATGCTTGGAAAGTTTTCATTCACATAAGATTCACTGAAGACTTTGAAGGATGCTTTTATCCTTATGTTTTATGACAAATATTGATCATTTGTCTGATTTTCTGTGAAGAAATACACATGATCAAGTTTTGACCATCATAGTTCAATTCCAAACTTCTTTCCAACTTTAGGAAACCTTTAACTATGAGGGAAGCTGCAGCCTATTACAAGAACAAGCATGATAAGCAAATATTCAACTTCCACATATGTAAATTGGGTTGGAACTCCAGGGTAGGCATGTCACAGAATAATGGAGCAATGCAGACTGTGCTGACGGACCCATTCTAGCCCACATTCAGAGCTTAGTATGAAATCATCCCTTCGCCTCTCCCAATGGAGACCTAGGTACCAAAGAGATGCCCACCCATACTTATGATTATCACCAAGCAACTTAGAAAGAAAGGTGTAGGACAAAATCAGGGATATCAGCAGCATTCATTTTAAAGCATATTCTGTGGAAAAGGAATCCCCAAGTCATCAAGTCAATGGTTCCTAATGCCTGAGGCTGATTCTTTGTTGACTATGGAAGAGTCACTTTGGAAATATATACAAATGTGTAGATTTGGGGGCTCCCCTTTCAGAGAATCTTGGCGGATTCCAAGAATAAACATTTTTAATAAGCTCTTCCCATTCTCCACCTTCCACCCATGACTGACACTCAGTGGGGCTTGGGAGTCACTGGCCTGGTTCATATGGTTTCACCCAGGAAAGATCACTTATTTGCCTGCTCCCACAGTGACACATTTGTCCCGTTTGTTTTTTCTTAAATTCCTACATCCTTCAAGGGAAGAAATGCTTCATGGGATCCCAGCTACTCATCCTGTCTTCAAAGCCAATCTGCCCCACCAGAATCAGAACTCCAAGATGAGCCACCTTGGCTGGAGGGAATACTTCCTACACTCCTGGTGGGGAGGGGAGCACTCCAGGAATGTGCTCAGCCCCTGCCTCCCACAACCACACAAGAAAGGGCCTTCCTGTGCCCATTAGGAGGAGGAATCAGATGTCTGCCACCAGCTCGTTCTCCCTCCTTTTTGGCATCCATTTGCCTGCAGAGAACAAACATTCTCACATGCTTCTGGCAGATTTCGGACACGTGATTCTATTTTGATTACCTGTGATCAAATACTATCTTAATTCCCAAAGAGCTACTTTTTTCCTGTAATATGAAACTGCTTTGGGGGAAAATTATGTTTTTCACTATTGTCATTTCTATGGGTGTGCCTAAGGCAAGACCCTCTATGCTGTCTATTTTACAGCAGCAGACTCTCACAGGGTGGGAGCTGGGGAAATCATGAGTTTCCTAAACGCTACCGGTGACTGGGCACTGATTCTAACTCAGGGGTGAAGCACCCAAGTTATCCAGCCAAGTGCTGGCGTTTGACTACAAGAGCGTTTGAGCGCCATCTGCTGGATTCTCAGTTCATTCTCACATTTGGTTCTAAACTCGGGCAAGAGGAAAAAGAACAATTGCTTATTGACCCCCAATTCCAATTTTTCCACTTCCATTTACCATTACCGGGAATTTTGTCCACACTTCCAAGGAAATATTTTAGTGCAAGAGATATCCAAGCAACACTGACTCCTTTGTTGAAATGCCTGACAAAAATTTGAAATAAAAGATTTTATCCAGCCTGTAATCCCGCGCCTTTGGGAGGGTGAGGTGAGTGGATTCACTGAGCCCGCGGGTTCGAGACCCGCCTGGGCAGCGAGACCTCATCTCTACAATAAATAAAAAAAATCAGCCGGGTGTGGTAGCGCATGCCTGTAATTCCGGCTACCTGGAAGGCTGAGGCGGAAGGATCGCCGGAGCCCAGCAGGTTGAGGCTGCGGTGGCCGGGAGCGGCCACTACACTCCAGTCTGGGCGACAGAGTGAGACTCCAACTCAAAAAAAAAAAAAAAAAAGATTTATCCAGTACACACTTACAAGCACCTTGGGCCTATATTTTGTTTTACACTTTTAAGTGGATATAACTAACATAGAATGCAAACTGCATATGTAATCCTGGGTTTGAAAGTTAATATGTCTACGTACAGAGAGGTGTCACCTGACAAGGTTCTGGCAGATTTCTGATAAATGATTCTATCTTGACTACCTGTAAGCAAATACCTATCTTAATTCCCTAAGAGATAATTTTTTCCAATACTATGAAGCTGCTTTGGGGCAACAGAATATTCCTTACTCTTGTCATGTCTATGGGTGTGCCTAAGGCAAGTCATATTTGGTCTGGTTTGATCATCTATTGAATGGAGTATTAATGACTGCACTGACTCTCAAAACAGGTCATACACTTGGAGATGCATACAGTGTGCTAAGTGGGAAATTATTGTGCCACTAAGGGTTCCTGTTGTAGAAACAGGGAACCCCACATGCAAGTTGGGTTTCTGTCCTCTGACCAACCTCCAGAGTGGCAGAACCTGCCTGACACACATTAGACCATAGACTCCATAGCTGTTGAATGGTTCTTGAGAGGATTTCAGGTAGTCTTTTTCTTCACATCTCAGTTTGCTTTTGTCCCAACAGTAGCTGGTTTAAAGAATGCCAATATAATAGCATAACACATTTAAGACAATACACAGAACTGCAGAAATAAGTGCACAGAGTGGCTCACGCCTAGCTTGAGGCAAGTTTACACTGTAGTCCCAGCTGCTTGGGAGGCTTAGAGAGGATAATCTCTTGAGTCCAGCAGTTGAAGGCTACAGTGAGCTGGGATTGTACCAATGCACTCCAGCCTGGGTAACTGACAGAGCAAAACCTTGTCAAGACGGGGGCGGGGGAGAGGAAAGGAGAGGAGAGGAGAGGGGAGTTGAAGAGAGGGGGGACTTAGAAAATAGAGAAAAAGGAAAGGAACAAAGAAAGAAAAAGTTGTGCACTTACCATGTTAATAGCATATACTGGCTTTCTTATACATCTCTCTATGTTGTTGATTTCACTGTTCTTGTTTTATCAAATGGAGGATCATCCAGAAGCTCAGGAAATAATTGCACTAGAATTTCATCTCAAGCAATGCAAAAAAAAAAAAAAAGACTCGTTAATTCCAGTCATGCAGGATTGATATATTTTGTTCTATAAGCACCTAAAGTTATTAATACAGTGAATAAATGACACAAACAAAATGTATATGGAAAATTATGCCCTAAAATGCCTTGTCTTGAGAAGGGAAACTCCAAATACCTAAACCATTCCTCAAAAATTTTGATGGTATAATATATCCTGGGTAGTAAACATTGCCCATGGAACAAAGTCAAAGCTAGACTTGGAGGGGAAAGGAAACACTGCCCGCTATAGATATAAGGCCCCAAATCTCATAATATTTCTTGTTATTATTTTCCTTCTTGCTCCCGTTGTCATGAACAACCCCGAGAGTGTCTCAAAAATGACCCACAGCCGGGCTCGGTGGCTCAGCCTGTAATCCCACGCCTTTGGGAGGCTGAGGTGAGTGGATTGCCTGAGCCTGCGGGTTCGAGACCCGCCTGGGCAGCAAGACCTCATCTCTACAATAAATAAAAAAATCAGCTGGGTGTGGTAGTGCATGCCTGTAATTCCGGCTACTCAGAAGGCTGAGGCGGAAGGATCACTGGAACCCAGCAGGTCAAGGCTGCGGTGGCTGGGAGTGGCCACTGCACTCCAGTCTGTGCGACAGAGTGAGACTTCAACTCAAAAAAAAAAAAATGACCCACAAATGGGGTGAAAGTGTGGAGGAAGAAATAAAACAGAACACCATAAAAAAATCTAAAACAAAACCTAGGAAACACTCTTGTGGACATTGGCCTGGGCAAAGTATGAATAACTAAAACCTCCAAAGCAATAGCAACACAACAAAAATTGACACTTGGGGCTTAATTAAACTAAAAATCTTCTGCATAGCAAAATAAGCTATCAACAGAGTAAACAGACAAACTGCAGAGTGGTAGGAAATATTTGCAAACTATGCATCTGACAAAGGACAAGTCATCAGATTCTATAAGGAATTAAAATAAATCAACAATAAATAACTCCCTTAAAAAGCGAACAAAGGGCATGAACAAACACTTCTCAAAACAAGACATGCAAGCAGCCAACCAACATAGGAAAAAATGCTCAAAATCAGCAGTCTTCAGAGAAATGTAAATCTAAACCACAATGAGATACCATCTCATACCAGTCAGATGGCTGTATTAAAAGGTCAAAAAAATGCTGGGCATGGTGGCTCATGCCTATAATCCCAGCACTTTGGGAGACCAAGGAGAGGCGAGAGGGTGCCTCAGCTCAGGGTTTCAATATGAGCCTTGTCAGCTTGGTGAGGCCTTGTCTCTACTATAAATCAAATAGAATTAGCTGGACATGGTGGCATGCATCTGTAGTTCCAGCTACTTGGAAGGCTGAGGCAGAAGGACCTCCTGAGCCCAGCAGGTCAAGGCTGTGGTGACTGTGAGCATACCACTGCACTCCAGCCTGGGCACAGAGTGAGACTCTCACTCAAAAAAAAAGTCAAAAAAATAACAGAGGTTTGTGAGACTTGGGAGAAAGGGGAATACTCATATACTGTTGGTGGGAACATAAGTTAGTCCACTCCCTATGGAAAGCAGTTTGGAGATTTCTCAAAGAACTAATCATTTGACTCAGCAATCCTACTGCTGAGTATATCCCCAAATGACAAGAAATCATTTCACCAAAAGGACACCTGTACTCATATTTTTACTACAGCACTATTCACAACAGCAAAAACATAGAATCAACCTAGGTGTCCATCCATGGTCAACAGGATGAAGAAAATGTGGTACATATAAACCATGTCATACTATGCAGCCATAACAAAGAACAAGATCATGTTCTTTGCAGCAGCATGGATGTAGCTGGAGGACTTTATCTTAAGTGGATTAAAACAGAAACATAAAATCAAACATTGCATGCTCTCACGTCTGAGTGGGAGCTAAATATTGAGTACACACAGACATAAAATGGAAACAATAAGACACAGGGGACTTGAAAAATGGTAATGGATGGAGTGGGACAAGGATGGGAAAACTACACATTGGGTACTATGTTCACTGATGGGTGATAAGTCCAATAGGAGCCCAAACCTCACCATCATGCAATATACCCATGTAACAAACATGCATGTGAGCCCTTCTAATGCTAAAAACAGGAAAGAGGATGAGGTGGAGAGAGAGAGAAGAAGAAGAAGAGGAAGAGGAGGAGGAGGAGGAGGTGGAGGAAGGGAGATAGGGAGAGAGAGAGAGAGAGCAAACAGAAAGCTCTTTGTAAAGCTACTAATAATTGTTCAGGGTTATAGTTTTTGAAATGTCTTCTTTCCCTTTTAAAGTGTTCAGGCTAGGCCAGGCACGGTGGCTCATGCCTATAATCCCAGCACTTTGGGAGGCCAAGCTGAGAGGATTGCCTGAGCCCAAGGGTTTGAGACCAGCCTGGGCAACTTGGCGAGACCTCATCTTTACTATAAATTGAAAAATTAGCTAGGCGTTGTGGCACGTGCTTGTAGTTCCAGCTACTTGGAAGGCTGAGATAGAAGGATTGCCTGAGCCCTCAAGTCAAGACTATGGTGGCCGTGAGTGTGCCACTGCACTCCAGCCTGGGCTACAGGATAGACTCCAACTCAAAAAAATAAAAATCAAAATCAAAAGCTTTCAGGCTTCTACCTTCCCTGGAAAACAGCATCTTTCCTTTTCCTTTTGGGTTTTAGGTTTTTTTGGCTAGCCACAGATAAAGCCACCACAAAGTCCATTCATGCTGTATCTATTCTGAGTCCATTTCCAAGGACTACTTTGGTGGATTCTACTCACTTGAAGGAATAGGTGCTTAGGACAGAGGCACCAGAAAATTAACCGTGAGAGTCACCAAGAAAGTGATCATTCTCCTCACCACCCCCTCCTTGATGAATGTATTAACTTACAAGCTCCTGAAAACCTTGCTTAGAGAGAACCTGGGAAGGTTGACCAGGTCAGTGGGCCCTTGGGGGGGATGGGCGCGTGACAGAAGCTTCCCAAACCCAGAACCAGGCTTCCATTTTCAGATGCACTCACTCCCCTCCTACACATGTGGAGCTGGATTCAGAGACACTGGATCACTTGCAGGTCTGAGAACAAGTCTTCTGCCTCCTAGACAGAAGGTACTGAAAGCACAGTGTGAAGGCTAACACTGAGTGACAACTGGGCTGAATTGAGGGATGCCTACATGGCTGGTTAACCATTGTTTCTGGGAGTGTCTGTGAGCTTTTCTCATTGCACAGCTTGCAGAAGGCCAGCACTAGACTTTTCCTTGTAATTGTATGAGTCAATTCTGTCTAACCAATTCCCATTTATGTATACAATATCCGGTGGTTCTGTCTCACTTGAGAACCCTGACTACTACACACAGCTAGAGGTGTTGCAAGCAATACCTGCATCTGTTCATTTACTCCACACTGGTCACCTGCCAGTCAGTGAGTCAACGTGGACTACCTGGGGAGGAGCAAACCTAGAGTTCCTGACATGCGACAGCTGCTGGAACAAAGGGTGCATCACATGTCGAGAGATACCACCCACCCATACACACAAGCAGGAATCTGCAGGCATCACCTCCTAACCCAGGAAAAGCATCAGCATTTACTCTTCCGGGAGCTCCTTCTCATACCTAAGATGATCCTCAGTCTCCATCTCCAATCCTGACCCACATCACAGGCACCAGGATGGAGAGACCTCACTGCCAGTTAGCCTGCTTCCTTCAGCAGATGGTTGTGGTTCTGACCTGCTTGCTCAGTCTCAGCCCTCTGCTGAGTGGCATTCCTTGGGCTTAGCTTTGTTGTTGTTTTAAAAAATTTTTTGTTGTGATAAAATATGCATAACATTAAATGTTCATTTTAACTCTTTTATAGTGTACAATTCAAGGGCATTAAGAGCATCCACAGTGTCGTATAAACATCACCACTATTTATTTCCGGAACATTTGTTACCATCCCACACAGAAACTCTGTCCTCTTGCTATAGTTTGAATGTGTCCCTCAAAGTTCATGTGTTGGAAACTTGTTACCCATTGCAGCAGTGTTGGGAGGTGGGGTCTATGGAAGTGTTTAGATCATGGGGACCCCACCCTCATGAATGGATGAACACAGTTATCATGAGAGTGGGCTCCTTGTAAAAGGAGTTTGGCTCCCGCTTGGTCTCTCTCACTCTCTGCCGCACTTCTGCTTTCTGCCATGTGATGTGATGATGCAGCAAGAAGGCCCTCACCAGACACGGGCCCCTTGGTCTGGGACTTCCCAGCCTCCAAAATCATGAGCCAATAAATATCTGTTCATTATAAATTACCCAGTCTGAGGTATTTTGTTATAACAACACAAAGCAGACTAAGACACCCATTTAGCAATAACTACCATTCTCCCCTCTCAGCCCCTGGTAACCTCTGTTCTACTTTATGTGCCTATGAACTTGCCTATTTTGGATAGCAGTAGTATCATTCAATATTTGGGCTTTTGGGTCTCACTGATTTCACTTCGTGTAATGTCTCCAAGGCTGTAGCATGTATCAGAATCTTGTTCCTTTCTATGAGTAAATAATATTCCATCACTTGTCTTCAACAGATATGTTGTATCTATTGATCTGTTGATGGTCACTAGGGTTGTTTGCACACTTTCCTATTGTGAATTGTACTGCTATAGACATCGATGTACAAGTATCTGTTTGAGCTCCTGTTTTTAATGGGTATTGACTTAGAAGTGGAATTGCTGGATCACATAGTAACTCTGTGTTTAATGTTTTGAGGAAATGCCAATCTGTTCTCCAAAGCAGCTGCACCATTTTACATTCTCACAAGCAATGAATAAGGCTTCTAATTTCCTTCATCCTCACTAGCATCCTAACTAACGTTTTAGTTTCCTTTCTTTTTTCTTTTACTTTTTTTTGAGTTGGGGTCTTACTCTGTCACCCATGCTGGAGTGCAGTGGCACATTCATGGACACCACAGCCTCGACCTACTAGGCTTAGGTGATTCTTCTGCCTCAGCCTTTCAAGTAGCTGGAACTAGTGTGCGCTATCATGCCTGGCTAATTTTTTGATGTATTGTAGAGACAAGGTCATGCCAAGTTACCCAGGCTGGTCTCGAACCCTTGGGCTCAGGCAATCCTCTTGCCTTGGCCTCCCAAAGTGCTGGGATTACAGGCTTGAGACACCACACCCTGCAGTATCCTTTTTTTAGATAATAGTGACTATCTTCACTATTGAGCATCTTCTTGTGTGCTTGCTGGTCATTTGGATATCTTCTTTGATATCCACATTTCTGTTCAAGTCCTGTGCCCAAATTTAAGTTGGGTTGTTTTGTTATTGTTAAATTGTTGGAGTTCAATATATTATCAGATATGTGATTTGTAAATGACTTCTCTCATTCTGTGGGAAAAATTCCTTTGATACTCAAAGGCTTTTAACTTTGAGGATATTCTATTTACCTATTTTTTCTTGTATCGTCTGCGCTTTTGGTATCAAACTTAAGACACCATTACCTAATCCTAAGTCAGGAAGATTTTCACCTAGGTTTACTTCTAAGAGTTATATATTATTAACTCATAGATGTAAGTATTTACCCTACTTTGAGTTTAATTTTATATGGCATAAGATAAGGATCCAACTTTGTTCTCTTGGCTGTGAATATCCAATTTTCCCAGGACCATTTGTTGAAGACACTGTTATCTCCCTTTTAGTGGCCTTCACACCCTTGTTGAATATCAATTGACCATAGAAATATGCATCTCTTTTTGCACTTTCTATTGTATTCCACTGGTCTGTATGTGTGTCCTTAGGCAGTACCACACTGGCTTGTTTATTGATGCATAATAGAAGTAAAGAATGAGTATTAAGACCAACATAAGACTATGTTTTTTATTTTAATTTTATTCTTCCTAGAACTTCTAAAAATATGGCGTGTCTCAAACATCATGACTGTAAACATATATGTTTGGTGAACTTGGTATAGAAAACTTAAAGAAATAAAAGCTGTAAGGTATAAAGTATTTTAAAGAGTTTGTACGTTTCAATTTCCATAGATGAGATTACAGAAATAAGAGAAATGTCCAACAATAATGACCTCAATGTGGATTCCTGTGTAATGAAATCTCGAAAAACAACAACAACAACAAAAAGAAGTACCATATACACTCTTTTAATTACTATGCCTGGAAGGCGAGGGCCCGGACTGGGGTTAGTAGGGCGCGGAGGCAGGCGTGCGGCGGGCAAGCCTGGAGGGGACGGATCCGCGCGGGCCTCGCAGCCACCCGCCCTGCCTGAGGAGAGGGAGGTCGCAGTGAGAAGCTGCAGCCGCAGACGCCGCTGCTGTCAGGACTGAGCGCCGGCCTGAAGCCATGTCCTACTGCCGGCAGGAAGGGAAGGATCGAATCATATTTGTGACCAGAGAAGACCACGAAACTCCAAGCAATGCAGAACTGGTGGCTGATGACCCCAATGATCCATACGAGGAGCATGGGTTGATACTGCCAAGGGGAGACACTCACTGGAACTGCCCGTGCCTTGGGGGAATGGCCAGCGGCCCCTGTGGGCCACAATTCAAGTCTGCCTTCTCCTGCTTCTACTATAGCACAGAGGATGTCAAGGGATCAGACTGTGTAGACCAGTTTCGGGCCATACAGGAATGCATGCAGAAATACCCCGACCTCTATGCCCAAGATGATGAGGGGGAGGAAGAGGAGAAGAAGCCAGTAGAACGTATAGAAGAAATGGCGCCCACTGAGTCTGCTGCAACCAAAGAAGAGAAGGGGTCGAGTTAATGAAGGCCACAATGCACTGGGCTCCCGTCCTTCTACTCAAGTGAAGTGGACCTTGACAAAATGCCTTTCAGTTGCCCTCCAAGAAAGTGTCTTTCCCTCTGTTGTCCTATGCACTGTAATGTACAAAATAACTTTTTTAGATGAACAGAGGTCTTGGCCTCTTGACATATACACTGAAGAAGGTGGGGGTTGTATGTATGTGTTTCCTACATAAACCTGTCAGCAAATGCAGCTGCCACTTTTGAATTCTCTTTCCTCAGATTACCCTGAATTTCACCACTTTGAAATAATGGGTGAGTAGTCTCAGCGACCAAAAATCATTACCCAGGAATGTTGCTTGTGAGTGAGCTGATTTATTCTGATTCGTTATATCCCTTTCAGTAGATTAAATTTTTTTTTTTACCCTTTTAGTAGATTGTATACCCTTTTGGGAAATGAAATATAAACAAAAACATCTGCTTTTTAAAAATGCTGGACTGGGGCCATTTTTACTAGAAGAGGTCAGATACATATTCCTCAAAATTCGCTTTGACCTTGAGTATACAAGGAGGTACAGTACTTCATTCCTGATACATTTTGATTTCTGTGTTGGTGTTGAGCTCCAGGTTTTGTGTTTGAACAGGAGATTTGGACACTCCCATCCAAATCCCCTTCAAAGGCTGGTTTTTACTTTTTCTTGCTATTCTGAAAGCCCTGGCCCATCTTTATGGTGGCTATAGTCTAGCCAGATGCAACATTCTTGAGAGGTGGGGGCCTAATAGTCACCAAAATAGCAGCCAAGAGAAGAAACAGTGTGAATTAAGTACTCAATTAAAAGGAAACATGATTTTTACCTGAAAAAAAAAACTATGCCTTATAGTAAATTTTGAAATGAGAAAATAGAATGCTTCCAACTTTGTTTTTCATTTTAGAACTAGGTTAGTTCTTAAAAGGTACTGGAGATTCCATATGGCTCTTAAAGTGGATTTTCCCACTTCTGCAACACAAAAGAAGCCTTTGGAAATTTTTATAGGGGAGGCACTGAATTTGCAGATCACTTTGGGCAATTTTAACATCTGAGCAACATGAAATCTTTCAATTCATGGACATGAGATGTCTTTACTTGTGTCTCTAATTGTTTTTAACCAAGTTTTGTAGTTTTTGACACTAGTACAAATCTTTCACTTCCTTGGCTAAGTTTATTACTCAGTATTTTATTGCTTTTATATCATACATGGAATAGTTGTCTTAATTTCCTTTTCAGGATGTTCATTGTGAGTGTGTGGGAACACAACTGATTTGTATGTTGAATTTGTATCCTACAACTTTGCTAAATCCATGTATTAGTTATGACAGTTTTATGTTATTTATAGAGTTTACCACACAAAAGACAAAGCCACCTACAAACAGAGATAATTCTACTTCTTACTTCCGAATTTGGATGCTTATTTCTTTTTCTTTTTCTTTTTTTTTTTTTTGAGTTGGAGTCTCACTTCGTCACCCAGGCTGGAATGCAGTGGCACGCTCACACCCAACCCAGGGTCGGCCTGCTGAGTTCCAGAGATCCTTCGGCCTCAGCCTTCCAAGTAGCCAGAACTACAGGTGCACACTACAATGCCTGGCTAATTTTTTATTTATTATACAGACAAGGTCTCCCCATATTGCCTGGGCTGGTCTCAAACCTGCAGACTCAGGAAATCCACTCGCCTCCACCTCCCAAAGTGTTGGAATTATAGGCTGAGCCACCAAGCCCGGCCAGAATGCCTATTTCTTTTTCTTTTTCTTGCCAAGTTACTCTTGCTAAGAATTCCAGTACAATGTTAAACAGAAATGATGAAAGCAGACATCCTTGTCTTGTTCCTGCTCTTAGAGGCAAGTCTTTTGTCATCCAGTCTAAGATTTTCTGGGGGTTTTCAAAACGCCCTCTATTTCATTACTTTTCACTCTATGACTTACTGTTCCCTTTTTTTCTGCTAGATTTCAATGTAATATGCTATTCTTTTTCTAGTTCCTTTAGATGTACAGTTAGGATACTTACTTGAGATCATTTTTTTTTAGAATATGTATTTATACCTATAAATTTCCTTCTCAGCATTGCTTTCACTGTACCCATAAGTTTTGGTATGTTGTGTTTGATTTTCTTTCATCTCAAGGTAATTTTTAATTTCCCTTGTGATTTATTCTTTGACACATTGTTTACTTAACAGTGTATTTCTTAATTTCTACATATTTATAAATATTCCAATTTTCCTTCTGTTGTGGATTTCTAATTTCATTCCATTGTGATCCTTTCATTGTATGATGTCTTTTCTTTTATTTTAAATATGTGGGATACAATTCAGGGTTAGGTATATACACGTGTTCATTATGCAGGAACCCTTGTTGATGAGGTGTGTTCCTTCCTCCCTTGGCAGTTTCCCTCAACTACCAATCCCACCCCCGCTTCCCTGGCAGTTTCCCACTACTCCCAATCCCTTTCTTATTGTATTATGATCATTGTTCAAGGTCTGCTTATGAGGGAGAACATATGGTACTCTGTTCTTTGTTTCTGTGATATCCTACTGATTATGAGAGACTCTAAATCCATCCAAGTTGCTGCGAAGTCCATATGTTTGTCCTTCTTTATGGTTGCATAATATTCCATTGTGTATATGTACTACTTTTTTTTATCCAGTCCATTTTCAATGGGAAGCATGGTTGATTCCATGGTTTTGCTATTGTAAGTAGAGCTGCAAGAAACATGTGTGTGCAGGTATCTTTTTTGTAGAATGATTGAGTTCCTCTGGATATATTTCCAATAGGGGAATTACTAGGTCATATGGAAGGTCAATTTCTAGTTCTTTCAGAAATCACCATGCTGTCTTCCAAAGAGGTTGCACTACTTTGCTTTCCCACCAGCAGTGTAGAAGTGTTCCCTTTTTTCCACATCCTCATCAGCATCTGTTGTTGTTTGTTTTAATAATGATGGCCATTCTTACTGGGGTTAGGTAGTATCTGAATGTGGTTTTGATTTGCATTTCTCTGATGATTAGTGAGGCTGAGTACTTTTTCATGTGTCTGTTGGCTGCTTGTTTCTCTCTATTTTTTTTTTTGAGTTGGAGTCTCACTCCATCGCCCAGGCTGGAGTGCCATGGCACACTCGTGGGCCCACTAATGTTGACCCGCTGAGCTCCAGCGATCCCTCCACCTCAGCCTTCCAAGTAGCTGGAACTACAGGTGCACGCTACCACACCTGGCTAATTTTTTTTTATTTATTGCAGACATGAGGTCTTGCCAAGTTGCCCAGGCAGGCTCAAACCCACAGGCTTAGGCAATCCACTCGCCTCGACCTCCCAAAGTACTGGGATTACAGGCTGAGCCACCAAGCCTGGACCTGTATCTCTTCATCTGAGAAGTGTCTATTCATGTCTTTTGCCCATTTTTTAATGGGGTTGTTTGTTTTTTTTTCCTTTCAGTATATTTGAGTTCCTTGTAGATCCTAGATGTTAGGCCTTTGTCAGATATACAGTTGGCAAATATTTTTTTCCCATTCCCATTCTGTGGACTGTCTCCCTGCTCTCTTGATGGTTTCTTTGGCTTTGCAGAAGATTGTCAGTTTAATGAGGTCCCACTTGTCTATCTTATCTCTTATGGTCTGGACACTTTGGGTTTTGATCAGGAATTGGTTGCCAGTTCCAACTTCCATAAGAGAGTCTCCTGCATTTCCTAAGGTTCTTTTTTTTTTTTTTTGAGTTGGAGTCTCACTCTGTCACCCAGACTGGAGTGCAGTGGCCGCTCCCAGCCACCGCAACCTCGACCTGCTGAGCTCCGGCGATCCTTTCGCCTAAGCCTTCCAAGTAGCCGGAATTACAGGCATGCACAACCACGCCCGGCTGATTTTTTGATTTATTGTAGAGATGAGGTCTCACTGCCCAGGCGGGTCTCAAACCTGCAGGCTCAGGCAATTCACTCACCTCAGCCTCCCAAAGGCACGGGATTACAGGCTGAGCCACCGAACCCAGCTTAAGGTTCTTACAGTTTGAGGTTTTACGTTTAGGTCTATGATCCATTTAGAGTTAATTTTTGTATGGTGATAGGTAGGGGTCCTGCTTCAATCTTCTGCATGTGTTCAGCCAGTTTTCCCAGCACCATTTACTGAATAGGTTCTCCACTCCCCAGTGGTGGTTGTTGGAGGCTTTGTCAAAGATGAGTTGGTTGAGGAATTGAAGCTTTGCTTTCAGAATCTCTATCCTATTCCATTGGTCTATGTGCCTGTTCTTGTACCAGTATCAGGCTGTTTTGATTACTGTAGCCTTATAGTAAAGTTTGAAGTCTGGAAGTGTGATACCTCCTGCTTTGTTTCTTTTGCTAAGGATTGTTTTGGCTATTCGTGGCCATTTATGTTTCCATATAAATTTCTGTGTTGTCATTTCCAGGTCTGAGAAGAATGATGTTGGTAACTTAATGGGTATTGCATTGAATCTGTAGATTGCCTTTGGTAGGATGGACATCTTAACAATGTTGATTGTTCCTATCCATTAGCATGTAATATTTTTCCATTTGTTTGTGTCTTGTTAGATTTCCTTGAGTGGTTTTTTAGTTCTCATTGTAAAAGTCTTTCACTTCTCTGGTAAGGAAGATGCCGACATGTTTCTTTTCTTTTTTTTTTTTGTGGCTATTGTGAATGGGATTTTACTTTTTGTTGGATTCTCTGACTGCTTGTTGTTGATGTATAAGAAAGCAACTTTTTTTTGCACATTTATTTTGTACCCTGAGACTTTGCCGAAGTCCTTTATTAGTGTAAGCGGGCTTTTGACAGATTCTTTTGGATTTTCGAGGTATAAGATCATATTGTCAGCAAAGAGGGATAACTTGACTTCCTCTTTTCCTATTTGGATACCCCTGATTTCCTTCTCTTGTTTAATTGCCCAAGCTAGGACTTCCAACACAATGTTGAACAAGAGGGGTGAGAGTGGGCAGCTTTGTCTTGTTCCAGTTTTGAGGGGATATGTTTCCAGTTTCTGTCCATTTAGCAATATGTT